CGAAGGAGCTGCCCGCGCAAGCCTTCGAGCTGCACGCGGGCGTGCTCCACATCTGCGACGACGGTTCTGTTCGACACAGCGCCCCCCACGGCCTCAAGCAGTTTGGTACGGTCTTCTGCCTCGCCCAGCAGGTTGCGCACCCTGTCGTTTGCCACTGCCTCCGGGTCCTCTTGATCGCTGCCTTCGTCCATTGTGTTTGGGCCATCGTCATCCATGCCTAACCAGAATTGTGTGTTGCCCGTTTCCTTGACGAGGCGCTCTTCCAATCCATCCCCCAGATCTTGCTCCTCCAGCAGCTCGACCATAACGCGCATCTGTTGCCGATGCGCCCGCAGCAGACGGCGCTTCTTCGCATAGCGAGTGCAGTCGCAATGGTACCCAGCGAATGGCACAACGTCTTTACCCTTGCCCTTGCCTTTAGTCGGCGCAGCAGAGGCATGGCGAGCCTCTGCTTGTATGAATTGGTTGTTATGGCTATCGTAGGCCAGTGTGTCGCGTGGCTCTGTGACTGTTACGGTCATCCAACGAGCCACATCCTCGTCGCTTAATCCGCGAACTTCGTTGCGAAATTCGTCTTCAAAGAGCGTTGACAGCATGGAACGGATCCCTTCTAAATACGTCTGCAACGCACCAGGCTCCACCGCGAGACGTGGTCCATGTTCTGGAAATGCGTCAAGCATCCTAACAATGCTATTTACGCGTTGGCGAGTTCGCGACAACGTCTGGTGAAGCTGTGCAGAAGTCATTGCTCACAGCAGCGGCGCTCGGGAGCGGGAGCGGGGGGGATCTTGTTTGCTTTTAGAGCCGATACTCCGTGTGCGCTTCTTAGCGCGGACAAGCTGACTGGCAAGCTATGAGATGTACTGGGCGTTGCATACAGTATACGCTGCGGTTGTCTCATCTTTGCACTAGCTTCGCTGATGCCGCGTGGGAAGCGTCCGCGGCAGCCGCCCGCCAGGTGTCTGCGGCTCACAGACGGTGCGCGGCGGCACGGGTGGCGCGGGCGGCGGCGCCTCCGCCCCTGCACCCTCGTGCTGCGTGGCGCTCGCCCTGCTGTGCTGTGCATGGCTTTGGCCTTTGCTGCAGCATGTCGGGCACTCTGCTTGACCTGAGCCGATATTCTGAAGGCGCGCGAGAGCTACAGCTGAAGATTCGCGCGCGACCGGCTGACGATTCGCATCCTATTTCCCGTAATCACCTGTGCTGCTGGCCATGGGTTTGCTGCGAATTGCGAATGGGTGTGCGGGTGGCATGGGCAAAGCTGGGCGTCTGCTGGGAGAGATGCGCACAATATTTCTGAACTTCAACACTCGGCGCATGCTGCTGGCCTGGCTCTCACTCAGTGGAACGCCCGGCACTACGCCTGCTCATTGACCACCGCCCAGCGCGCGCTCCATGATTGGCACCATGACCATGTGCGCACGCCCCTACAGCGACAACACCCCGCAGGAATTCACTTGCCCGCTGCACCGCCAGGGCGCTGCTTACAGACGATGCGGCGTGCCGCTGAACGGCTCGAAGCGTGGTGGCGCGACAGCCACGGTCTCGGCGGCGTCATTTTCCGCGCAAGTGCATTCGTAGCCTAAGTGTTGGCAGCTCTCGCACACTCGGTACGCGCAGACAATTCGGCAAACGAGCGTGCTTGCACACACACATATGCTTTTCTCGCGCGCAGACGCACACGCCGTGGTGAATATTCGGTCTCTGCGTCTCCCGCGCATGTGGCAGGAGACACATCTGTGTGGCGCACTCAAGGTCGCCAAATGAATTCGCCACATTGACATGGGCAGGTCAGAGTCTGCGAAGCCTACCTGCGTGACGGCAGGCTCTGGGAGGGCCCCAACTGCGGCCCCCGCTCGCGCTTGGATGGAAGACTGTGCGCATCGCCGCGGCCGCCATGGAGCGCGCCTGCCGTGGCCGACTCAGCTGCCCTGCGTGATGCCTGCGGCGCGGAGGACCACACGTCGCCCCACGCGCAAGCAGCTGTCCTCCCAGCGGTGGGTGGCGAAGGCGTTGGCGAACTCGCCGAAGACTCCTTCAGCTGCTGTAAGATCCACTTTGCCGGCGCCGCCCGCCTGCCCGGCCATCAGCAGCTTCACGAGGCTCTCGGCGAAGGCGTGGCCGTCTGGCGCTACGCCCGCGAAGGCGTCTGTGAATGCTGCAACCTGTTGGCGCATACGGCGACCCTTCGTGGCAGCTTCGAGCACGGACGTCTCTAGTTCCACCGTGCGAGAAGGGTGGCTCTGAGCCCTCGCCAGGGCCCGCTGCTCTCGCTTCTGGCGCTTCTCGAAGTTCTGCAATGCCGCCTCGAGCTGCTGCACCGAAGCCAAACCAGGGAGGCTCTGCTGCACGACTGTGCCTTCTGCAGTCCCGAGCTGGTCGGCGACTTGCTTGCGGACCCTGCGGCAAGCCTCCTCTTCCTTCGCTTTCTGCTGAGACGCTCGGCGCTCCAGTGTCTCGCGCTCCTTGGCCTTCTTGTCGCGGCGCTTCTGCGCCTTCTTGCTGATGATCGATCCCGTCAGAGTCTCCGTCTCCAAAGCACCGCCTGGCACCATGGCCTCTGCTAGCCGAGGCTGCGGACTAGCCTTCTTCCGTAGCTGCTTCTTCGCGTGTGCCTCTTCGTTGAGCCGCTGTACAATCAGATCCTGTTGTTGAGCGGCAGTGTCCGCCTGCAAGTCCAGGCCCGAAGGCTGCGCAGTGCAAGCGCGAGAGCATTGCGGCTGGACAGGACTGACTTGAGTGTCTCTGGTGATGGGGGAGCGCGCGTGAGCTGCTGCTTCTTCGGCGGCTTCCCCGCCGTGTTTCTTGAAAGCTTTTCTGTAGTTGCGTTCCAGCTTCTCCATCCGCCTTGGCTCCGCTGTCGGAGACTTGGCTCCGATATCTGTTGCCTCGCGGATTATTCGCTGGAGGTCTTCACCTAGGTGTCGCATGTAGTCCTCGTCGATGACTGATTTATGGCAGCTCGCTTCACCTAAATACTTGCCCAGGGCCTGAAAGAGGTGTGCATGTTCATGTGGTATGGGTACATCGATACGTTCTTCCCTCAGGCGTGGCGAGGCCCTCCAATACTCTAGCCAAGGGATGCTGCCGTTGCGGTCCACAGGGACTTGCCATTCGCCGATTCCTGGGGGCAGCAGGCCGAGCGCGCAAGCACACGCCCTTATCGCGACCGTCGCTCGTTTGGTCACCTCGCGTCGCTCTTCCTGCATATCTTCGACGCATTCAAGCTCTCTTCCGGGGCATGGCAGTCTACTGGCAGCCGCAAAAGTGTTGTTGCTGCAACCCGCCTTCGCTTTGATGCGGCGGTCTTTCTGTGACGGCATCTGCCAGCGAAAGCTGGCCAAGCTAGGGCGCGCAGCCAAAGAGTCTGATCAAAAGAAAACTTGGAGCCACACATGTGCATCATGGCGTTACATGGTACCCGACACATGCGATAGCAGCCTGCATGCTCCAAATGTTCGCGCAGGCAGGGGCGACTGAGTGGAGCACGCGCGTTCGCGGACGGCGGCGGCGAAGACTGGCAGCTCGGCGCCGTCCCCCACCATTTGCAATCGATCTTCACCGCGCTGCGCTCCTCTTCAGCCTGCGCACAGCCGTGAGCTGCCTTGCCTATTTTCCTTTTTAACATGGCCGACGACAGCGCAACCCTGTGACACGCGTGGGACTCAACCCACAACGGTCCGCGGAACTCGGACCAGAAAAGGGCAGCGCTGGATGGCCTTGGCGCTCGCCTCTGCAAGGCGCTCGAAGCACGCCTTCGTGCCGACTCGCTTCTCGGACGCGCGGAGTGCAAGCACTGCGGTGCGGAGGAGCAGCGTGGTCGATGGCTCATCGCTTGCGCGGACGACGCGATGCCTGATGCACACAGGCGAGCTCAGGTACCAGTCGCCTTCCCTGAGCATCAGCTTGTGCCGGCGGCCGTCTGCTTCCTCGAATTCCACGGCGCGGTCGCCCGAGATTGAAATCGCGAGGAACAGCAGGGAAGGCCCACCATCGACGTGCATGCCTTCGTCGCCATGCTCGCTTTTGGCGACGAGGCGTGTGACGATCGCGGCCAGGGCGAAGATCGCATCCGCCGGGTCCGCGCCCCAGGCGTAGGCAGGCCCCTTGTTCGTGCTGTACGTCTCATCACGAAGCGTGGCGAATGCGTTCCAGAACCCAGGATTGCGCAAACGAAGATCGTCGAGCCACTGCCGCGCGGCGGGCGACGCGAGCTGTTCAAAGTGGCCGCCGTTGGTCTTCTGAGGGGGTACCTTGTCGCTGATACGGAAGAAGATTTCTGCATCGCCGGGAGTGTTCTTCGACGGCAGCAGCGCTGTATGCAACTCGACTGCGAAGGCGGCTCTGAACCCAGCCAGGCCCTGCAAGCTCATCCGGCCCCGCTGGATGGAGACGTTCACTGGGGATGTGCCCGATTTACCGTGACGGCGCATGATCTGTGTTTCCGTTCGGGGGTGCGCCAGAGTCAGGTCTGTGCCCTTGCTGGGAGCGCGGCTGCTTGGCGGCGAGCGGGAGCGTGCTGCCATGGCGCGATTCGACGGCCGGAGGACGATTTGGTTGGTGCTCCAGTGAGCAGGCAGCGCTTGAGCCAGGAGGAAGACCTTGCTAACGCAGTCTTGGGCCAGACATGCATGTGTGGAGTGATTGCGCTATGCAAGCCCTAGAGCGTGGGGGGATGCACTTTTCGAAAGAAGGGTTACACATACACGTCCACATGCAATACAGTTGCCGGAGAGAATTTGGTTCGGGCCATAATTCAATCCGAAAGAAAACAGCGACAAGATATGCAAGCTTATCCGAGGGAGGATTTGCACCGACGCGTATTGAACACGCACGCAGAGACAGTCTTATGATCAGTGAGCATTTCTGTGCGCATAGGCTTTTGACTTTCAATTTTAAGTGGTCTGTGCGCGTTGCAAATGCAAACCCTTGCATGTTATACTGACGGGGCATCGCTGCTGTATAATGCGCCCGGAACTTACATTTCCTATGCCTACCGCCTACGGCTGGCTGTCAGGATCTAGAGGTCTACTCTCCCGCACGCGGCTGAACAGCGCCTGCGGGTCGCTGTCTCAGCCTGTGGACCTCTTCTTCCAACTTGCGCTTTGGCGCCGCATCCGTCCAGGCTGAACTCTGTCCCACATACGTCGTCTAGGAGATGCCACTCTCGAGCGCCCTCTGCGTAGCCGGCGACGGCTGGAAACATGCGGTCCCACCCCAAATGACCACGCTGCCGTCCGCCTTGGTAACGAAGAAGCATGTCATCGCGGCTTCAATCACGGCCACCTTCTCTAGCTGCTGAACCGTGCTGCAATCGCCGCCGAATCTGGCATCGCCCCAGCATACAACGCTGCCATTCCTCAGGACAGCGGCAAAGGCTGCGCGCGTGGCGTGGATCGTCTCGACATCTACCCGCTGCTGCTGGACCGCGCTACAATCCCCGCCGTCCCTTTCACTGCCCCAACATACCACGGTGCGGTCCTTCTTGACTGCCGCGAATGCACGTTCTGTGGCGTAGATCGTCTCGACATCAACCAGCTGCTTCTGTGGCGTAGATCGTCTCGACATCCACCATACGTCTCCTGACCAATCGTCACTGCAATCGCCGCCGGACCAGTCGTCGCTGCAATCGCCGCCGCTGCAATCGCCGCCGGACCAATCGTCGCCCCAGCATGCCACGGTACCGTCTTTCTTGAGCGCGGCGAACGCATCTGTGTTGGCATAAATCTTCTCGACGTCAACCAGCTGCTGCTGGACCGTACTGCAGTCGGCGCCCCTTCCTCGTCACCCCAGCACACCACGGCACCGTCTTTCTTGAACGCGGCGAACGCAAAATAAGCGGCATAAATCTCCTCAACTTCCACCAGCTGCTCTTGCACCTCGCTGCAATCGCCGCCCCACCCCTCGTCGCCCCAGCATGCGACGCGACCATCTTCCGTGACTGCAGCAAAGCTACTGAGGTTGGCGCATATCTTCTCCGCGGCGTTCAGCAACTGCTGCCGCGTCATATTGCCGCGGATGCTGCCCCAGCATACCACGGTGCGATCCTTCTTGACTGCGGCGAATGCACCATGGGGGGTGGCATAAATCTTCTCGACGTCCACCAGCTGCTGCTGGACCGTGCTGCAATCGCCGCCCCACAACTTTTCACCCCAGCACACCACGCTGCCATGCCTCGCGCGGGCGGCAAAAGCGCCAATGGTGGCGGAGGAGATCTCGACCACGTCCTTGAGGTCCTGCTGCACAGCGCTACAATCCCCGCCTGTGCCGCGATCTCCCCAGCAGAGGACAGTTCCATCGCTCTTGAGAGCGGCAAAGGCGCCGGCACCCTCGCCAAATTGGCCAGCGGCGGCGGAGATGTCGACGACGTCCACGAGCTGCTGCTGCACAGCGCTACAATCCCCGCCCACGCGGCGGTCTCCCCAGCAGAGAACAGAGCCGTCGCCCTTGAGAGCGGCAAAAGCGCCGCCATCTTCGGAGGCAATGGCGAAGAGCCGTGGGAGCGCAACTCTGGCCGTCACGACAGCCTCGTCGCGTAGACCTGCGGCCACGATGGTGGAAGAAGCCTTCAGATAGTGGCCCGCCCTGGTGAAGAGCTGCGGCGGCCTCGGCACTGCGATAGAGTACCAGCGCGGTGTCCCCTGGAGACACTTCCAGCATGCAAAGGAGTCTGCCGCTTAGAGCGTGAACTGGGACGCGCAAGGGCGGCTGCTCAGCCACGCGCGCCTCCTTTGCAGTGGTCGATCCGTCGTTCTGGCGCACCCTCTTAGCCATGTTTTGTGAAGCAGTGGCGCTTGATTCGCTGAGGGTAGCAGATTTCGCCTTAGCCATGCCGCGGCGGGCTGCCTGCCTCAGCTTCGGTGCCATGGCCGCGCGGGTGGATGATGACACGACCACCCGGGAGGGCTACGCTGGAAGAGGCCTGAGCCAATCTTGCGATGCTGTAGCAGTAGCGCGCAGGCAAAACGCGATACTGCTCCAGTTCGCTTGGCGCGCACACGGCCATCAGTGCAAACACACACAAACGCCAGCCAGCCAGCGCGCCCATATTTTGTTCGTCACTTGCGTCCTTCTCACATACTTTCGCATTCAATGGCACGCAGCCCGAACGCTTCTGTGCTACAGCGGCACGGTCGCCACTTTGCATTCACACGGCCGCTCGTTCTTATCAAGGCACTACTCATTCGCAGGCGGCGGCTCGTCGCTCAACGATTGGCCTCACTGCCTCCCACGGCTCCTTATAGCCTACACAGGGCCCGCTCATGGTTTCCCTTCAGGGAGGCACATCTTGCGCGTTTCGCACAAGTCATGCTCCCCGCGGTGGGCGCATGTGGACAACAGGTGGAGGCTGCCAAGTCGCTGGACTACCCCCAAGCTGGTCCATGGCTGCCAAGGAAATGGGGAGCGCCTCCACCAAGGCCTCGAAGAGCTTGTCTACACCATCATTGAAGGTCTGTCTGCTTACTATTGCGCGTGCCTGTGCAGTCCTGGCAAGCAGCGGGGCCAGACGCAGGGTGCTCTCGCAAGGCGTGCGCTAGCACCGCCACATTCTTTCCCGCTGGAGGCTGATTGTGGTCACCTGTCTTTCTGTGCACCGGCGCCGCTCTCTGCACTTTCTGCTTTCCCGATTGGGCAAGAACACGAGCCCAGTGCGAGCAGCGTGTTGGCACGTCGCTGTTCATGGGGCCGTCCCAGATGTCGGGCTTCCTGTGGCATATTGGGCATTCTGTCTTCGGCTGTTGGTTCCACAAGCGCTTTCATTCGTCAGGGCACTGCTGTCGAAAACTCGGCGTGATGAGGGGGCATGCGTCCGTGCTGGTAGCTGGCGTCCGCGGCCCGCGGAAGATGTGACTGTGGGCTTCCATGAAAGCGGCAAAATTCACATAGACCGCCTCCAAATTAGAGTGCAGAAGCTCGGCAGGGATCTTATACGGTATACCCATTTGTATTCTGGCACCTGCGGGCCAGGGAACATGGCGACCAGCCATTCCATCACCATGCCCTTGGCAACTGGTTACTGCAGGCCGTGGCGGTCCAGGGCAAACGCGACAGTGGATTCCCATGTAACAGGGTCCTCGGTGACGCGGCCACGGAACTCGATGCACTCTCCGTTGGGACGGCTGATGAGATCCCCCGGCTGAAGGATGGCTTCCATCGCCTCTGGTTCGCTCCCATGGTAAACAATGTGGCCCCCGTGGGAAACTGTGACTGGCGCCGTGGCACCTGTGCGCAAAGCAGCCTCCAAGAGTTCCGGCACCTCACGACTCGCGCGCAACGCTGCTGGCAGCATCTGGTCAGGAGTCGTGTTGGATGACCCCGCCATCGTTGGCGCCAGCTCCTGGACACGACCGTGCGGCAACGGGGGTTCACGCTCGAATTTGCTGTGCTCGGCGCCCTCGTCCAAAGCAGCGTGAGCTTTGCCGGCACCCTTGGCGGGCGCCTTTGCGTTGGCGCAGTGGGTGGCCTGCTTTGACTTGGGGGGCATCGCCAGAGAACTTCTACACGAAGGTTGTGAAGGCAGCTTGAGCCTGGCTACGATTCGCATCCGCGCAGCATTATGTTCGTGTGCGCAGTCGGCCGCCGCATTTGAACAAGAATGTGGAAGTGGAAGTGATGCCCGGATGCTGCGTCGTGTGTGCACGCGGCACCGCCTCTTTTTCTGCTCTCCGAAGCACGCAGAACACGCGGCACTGCTCCGCGCCTCAAGGCGTGCTGCGCCAATGGCAGGAACACAGCATAAGCTGCGCAGAGCTGACAAATGCGTTCGTGGGACGGCTGATCGCACGTCGTTTTCATTTCCTTCGCTGCTTGATTCGTCTGGCGGCGGGTATGTCAACCCCTGCCGACAAGGGCCTTGGCAGGACTCGCGCTCCCAGGACCTCGGCAACAGCTTGTGCCAGTGCATGGACGAAATTACAAGGGACCGCGTTTGCGATCTGCTTGTAAGCAGCTCTGCCAAAGGGATGTTTTGGCGGGAAGGTGTGTAGACGTGCCGCCTCCATAATCGTAAGTCTGCGTAGGTATGCATGGGTCGTGCTGGATGGCGCTTGCGCTGTTGGTCAGGCTCCTGTGCGCGGTGGAGGCAGCGCCTGACTTCATTGCTTCCCTCGCAGAGCCGCTCGGAGCCACATGCCGGGAGCACAATGATTTCGGTCTGGCAGAGGGCCGCTTTTTGCGTTCGTCTGGGCACTGCTGACGCAGCTGCGCATGCGGAGAGGTCTCAATTCCTTTGAGCGCACTGCTGCCCATCCACCTTGCAAACGCCGGCCTGAGGCTACTCGGACAGGCTGGTAAACGACATGCATGCATTTTTTCTGGCGAAGACTGACATGATCTCATCCCCGAGACGGCGACTTACTACATGTCCGCCTGGGCCTTCAGCACTGCAGAGCGGGCTTCCGCACGCTCAGTGGCACAGGCATGGGCTTATCCGAGACTCCGGAACTCATAGCCACGCACAACGCCCTATGTTTTTCCTCGTGGGGAGGGCACATGCCTCCCGTGACTTCGTCATACTCCCAGCAATCCGTACATCGACGGGTCTCAGGCCGGAGCTGCTCACGCGCTTGCTTTTCCACCTCGCGGCGCCTGTCGCTCTCGGCCTCTTCTGCCTGCTGGCGTGCTTGGCTGTCGCGACGCGCCTTCGCCGCCAAAACCAAATATTTCTGCCAGGCGCAAATGGCAGCATTGATTGCTTCCTCCGCCCACTTTGAAGACAGTTCTTCTTCGATCTTCACCTACTCCGTAACCGATAGCGCAAGGTGTTTGGCGCGCGCGGGGTCCCAGGCGCACGCGGCCTCCTGCCTGCAGAAGTAACTGCTGGCGAGAGACTTCTCTCTCTGACAGCGCGGGCACTTCCCCCGCTGCCTCGCCAACTCATCTGCGACCGCCCTGCTGGCCGCCGCTCGCTTCTTGGCCTGGAGCGCATGCTGGAAGTCAACGTTCACAAGAAAGAACCGCGCCACGCGCGACTTCAGTTCGTGTGGCAGTCCGTCTCCAGCAAGCGTGGGCCAATTCTGTTGCGTTGCCAGACGCTCGTAGGCTTGCCTGATTTTCTGGACCCGCTCGGGGGCCAGGCGCTCCCGTTCTTCTCGGCTTGAGTTTTCGCGATGCCTGGCGTGATCTGGCTCTGCAGGCGCCTGGACAGCTGTCTCTTCCTTCTCCTCGGTCGCTGGGCGGCTCCAGTGCGCAAGTGGGAGCACAGGAGCAGGCATCGTTGCCTGTGCGGCCTGCACCTCTGCTTCCATGGGCGCCACCGCCAATTCCTCCTCGATGCTGTTCTTAGCAATGACCGAAACGTTTGCGTCTTCTGCGCTTGCAACAAGGGGGCCTTGCTCGATCATCTCCGCTACCTCCGTGTGGCTCGACCCCGCAGCTGGAAGGGGCATCGCGTCTGGAATATCTTGAGCAGTAGAACGCTCCACGCCCGGGCCTCTGGAATCCAATGGCTCTTCTGCACTGGCCCCATTCCTCTCCTGCGGCGCAGCATGTGAGCTGACCTGTGGCAGCTCTGCAATCCCTTTTGTCGTTTTCGCCTTTTTCGTTGCCCGTGCTGCATCTTCGTTATCTGCACTCTTATCTTTATGGGCTGGTGTGGACAAGGCCTCTGTCTTTTGCAGCAGCACCACCGTGCTTGGCCTCGTGTCTGGCGGCTGGATGGGGCGTTTACTGGATGGGCGGCTTGCCACTGGTTCCGTCACCGAAGACATGGTAGGGCTCGTCGTGAAGGCTGCAGAGGAAGCAGATGAATCGGCGATGTGTGCCTCCGCGGCAGGTAGGGCCTTCTTCAATGCTTCTTGAGTTGCGGCCTCTGCATGGTCAGTAATCTTTTGCCTCTCTGACTCCGCAATGTCTTTGATAAGCTGCACGGCCGCGCTCCCGGCTTGCTCGACGGACTTCCGGCCCTTCGCGGCATTCGCCCTGATCTGTTTCTTGCCCTCGATCTTCTCCTGTTTCGTAACGTCCTTGATCAGCGTAACTCCATCGTCTGCAACAGATTTGATTTGCGTGACGCCTTGTTCAGCCTCCTGCTGGATTTGCCGCTTGGCCTTCTGAACTTCGGCACGGACTTCTGCCAGGATTCGGCGGATTGTTTCCGTTTTTGGCTCGTACGGCACTTCCCTGCCAGATTGCAAAATCTCCGTGTACTCTTTGCGGCGACGTTCTTCAGGTACAGAGGGCATGGCTGCACACACCAAAACAATTGGGAGGCAATGGGATACAAATTTGAGCACTTTTCAAATGGCAGCGATACCCTTTGCTTGCACGTGGCCGCAGCGCTGCGGCGCTAAGCGCAGGTACCAATTCTATGGTACCACGGTCTGCCACAGAACTCTACGGTAGCGCAGAACACGGCACCACAGTACCGCGGCACAGGCACCATAGACTACAGCAGTACCACAGTACCGACCCCACGGTACCGACCTCACGGTATCGTGGTCTACCACATTGCCACGGTACCATGGTCTTCCACAGCACTACGGTCTCACGGTACCGCAGACCACGGCACCACGGTCCACCACAGAACTACAATACCACAGTACCTAGCCCACGGTACCGACTTCATGGTCCCATGGTCTACCACAGCACTACGGTCTCATGGTACCGCCACGGTACTTCCACACTACCGCGGCACCAGCACCATAGACTACAGCAGTACCACAGTATACCGACCCCACGGTACCGACCTCACGGTATCGTAGTCTACCACATTTGCATAATACCGTGGTCTACCAAAGCACTATACGGCCTCACGGTACCGTAGACCACGGCACCACGGTCCACCACAGAACCACAATACCACAGCACCAAGCCCACGGTACCGACTTCACGGTTCCATGGTCTACCACAACACAGTACCGCCACGG